GGCGAGGACCTGGAACCAGCTTCCAAGAGAAGTGGTGCTGGCTCCTACCCTGGGGGTCTTTAAGAGGAGGTTAAATGAACACCTTGCTAGGGTCGTTTGACTCCAGTACTTTTTCCTGCCATGGCAGGGGGTCAGACTTGATGATCTGCTCAGGTCCCTTCTGACCCTATCAACTATGAAACTATGAAACTATGCCATCACCTGCTTACAGTGCCCTTCTACTGTCTACATTAGACAGACTGGGTGATCCCTACATGATAGAAATAAAGGACACCACTCTGACATCAGCTGCAGAAAGACATGTAGGCCTCTGGCAGAACACTTGGACCTCCCTGGACACTTCATTGCTGACCTGAAGGTGCCTGTTCTCAGACAGCAAACTTAAAAACTGATTTGAGTGGGAAATTGTAGAAGAAGAAATCATTCACAGACTGGACTGTATTAAGTATGGTTTAAATGGAAACTCTGCATTCTTACACATTACCTGGGTTAACTTTAGTGACTCCTTTGTTCCGATGGCTTTACTGCTTCTTAGTTTGCCTCTTCCAGCACTGCCCCTCATTCCCACCTCCTCCCACTGTCCCCGTCCTCTGTGGTTTGTATTCTAATTTTTTGTCTCCTTTTATTCTGCTTTCTGCAAATCCTTTCACAGCACCTGATGAAGTGAGCTTCAAGTCTCTGAAGCTTGTGCTGTATATATCTACATTGGTTAATCTATAAGGTGCAAATCTACCCTGCCTTCTCCTTGATGTGACATGACAATTTGATTCTAATCCATCCTTGCTTCATTGCTATGTCACCAGCTTGCTCCTGTGCTCTAGACTTTGCAAAGACTTCCATTTGGTGTTAATGCAAATCGTATTCCATGGTTGTAATTACCAAAGGCCAAATTTGCAAAAGGATATCTTTGCTTTGGCAGATATCATCTGTATGGGCAGGATTTGCATCAGCAAATTAATGGCAAGGGTGAATCAGAGGTGCAAAGGCTGATTCTACATCTTCAGTTCATCTAACAAGCGCAAAAATGCAGGGGCCCTTGTGATGCAAGAGGTCAAGGAGATGATGACAAGTTTCCTTTGGCCTTCTAACCTAGAAAAAGATACATGCAAGTGACATGGGCAAGAAGGAGCTTCTTAGAAAATGTTCCTCTGCACTAACCTCTGAGCTGTCATGTCAGGGCTATATGTTCATGACTGGGGGCTAGAAAGAGACACTGGTTCTGTGCCTCATGACATGAGGCATACCCTCACCATCAAAGGACTAGGACATGGCACAGCCATTCCATGAATTATACAGTATAGGTGATGTTGCTATCCCAAGTATGGTGCTGGGTGTGTGCCAATAAACACACCCAAGGCAGTGAGTTTGTTAGCATGTGCCAAATGCCACTCCAAGGAGGCTTGCTCATAGTTGTGGGTGAGCATTTAGAGGGGAGTTCTTTGGTTAACAGTTGCCTGCATGCTCAAGAGGCTGGCCTTGGTTATGGGGCCATCTCCAGTCATATGTTCCTATTTTGCTTGGGGCGTAGTATGCATGGGACATGGGTGCTCTTTTCTCTTGCGCTGGTCAAGAGGCAATGTCAACATACCTTTAGATTACTGCACCAAAGTTCAGGCCCAAGGTTCAGTTCAGCCCAAGCTAAACTGACATGAATTTGGACCCAGATGTCCAGGAAGTGTAAATAGGTGCAGCTCATGTAGTGCTGAATGTACTTGCACAACACCAGTTAGGAATTTAGCCCAAAGCATTCACAGTTTTCTGGCTTTAGCTCCCGGTGCTTTTTCTCTTGTCACAGATTTCTGAACCTACGATAGTGTGGCATAACTAGAGTGTTCATGGGAATGGTTGTATGGACTGGAACGACAAGGCAGCCTTGCCAGAAACTCAGCCTGGGGATGACTTTCTACGAGTTGGCAACAAGGTAAAGAGAGAACAGCTCAGTTAAATACATCCTGGGACAGCTCTTAGTCTCAAGGACACCGGTGTACATCTGGAGAAATTTCCCCTTAAGTAAGTGAAGAATATTACAGGGACACAGTTTAGTCCATTCATAGCACCTGATGAAGTAGGCTGTTGCCTACAAAAGCTCATGTCTCTGAGCCAGTTAGTCTGCCTTGCCTTCTGCTTGACTTCAGACTAACCCAGCTAACTATCTCTGAACATTTTATGCTTGTGTCACCAAGATCAAAGCCTAACTTGATGTCTATGTAGACAAGCGAAACTCTCCAAGCTGTTTTGTATCCAGTCCAAAATCAGACTCCTAGTTTTAGAACCAACTTGTTTTAACTTGCACCAAATTCCAGGCAACTGATTTCAGTCTTACTTGCATCAGTCTAATGCAACTGGTTCAGAGTAAATTGGTGCCATTGAAATCGATAGAGTTATGCTGGCTGACATCAACTCAGGATCTGGCATTGGTTTAAATGCAGTTACCATGTTTTTAATAGTTGGTTCCAAACTCTAACAATTTTTAATCTCTGAAAGTTTTGGACCAGATTGTTGGCTTCTAAAAATCTGCAAAGCTTCATTAGTAGAGTGACCATAATAATTTGAGGGAAATCTAGGATAAGGGAGGGGCCCTAGGGGGTGCCAACACAACCCCCTGACCCATGGCTCCAAGGAGTAGGGCTGGGCAGGACAGTGTAGTTCGTGCACACACACACACACACACACACACACACACACACACACACACACACACACACACACCCCCTGCGGCTCTTCCCTTCTCCCCCCCAATCTACCATGCAAGCAATTCTTCTCACAGCCTAGTGGCATCTGGACCAGAGAGCAGCCCTGGAAAAATGGAGGCAAATGGTCTCCCTGGAAAAATGGAAGCAAAAGTCTTAGATTGGCGCAAACCCGCCTGCATGTGCTTGGCTCCTGACTTCTGACTCCTGGTTTGCACCAACCCGGGGCTTTTGCTTAATTTTTTTTCCAATGTCTGTGACATTGAGACAGCCTCCAAAATCTGGGACTGTCGTGGCCAGACCAGGACATACGGACACCCTATCCATCAGGCCCTTGAATTCTACAGCAGGTAAACTGACACTGTCTGGAGTTGGGCAGCCTCCTTCAGGTCCTGTCTAGATTTCTGACCACAGTTCTCTCTAGTCTGTGTTGCCCTTGATAATGTAATGGTTGACTAGAGTAATCCAGAGCAGAGTCTGGGACAGTGAGATGGAGTGAGGCATGGCTAAAAAGCATCTGCACATTTCTCTGTCAGTCCACATCTTCCTTTGCAACAACTTGCTACTCCAATCTTGGATCTCTTAGACTCTACCTCCCCCAGGCTGCAATGTGATAACTCTTTATAAAGTAATGGAATACTGTGATAATGCACAGGGAGAGCTCAGTTGCTTGATCTTAAAAGCGAACTCTAAAATACAGCCCGGTGAGTCACGTTTCCCACATGGATTGACTGGAATATTTTGCAAACACTTTTGGTATCTGCTTTCCATGAATATCCCCAGGCATGTGGCTTGCTGGAAGGAACATTCAGGGAAATATGTTTTTATTTGAAGAAAGCAAATTGACCATTTGAAAATGCAAGGACTTGTAATAAAATGACTAAAAGTTCTTCATCCAATCAGAAGAGAGAAATAAATCACGTGACCTTTGTGCCCAGTCCAAAAGACAGCTCAAATGTCTAATGAGCATTAAACAGAATGGTGACCAACACATACTGAGTGAGCTAGTTAGAGTAACAAATCCATCAGTGAAAGCTGCAAACTGCTCACAGGAAAATTGCAAGCAGTAAAAGAAGCAGAATTTAATACAGTGGTTTATTTGCTAAGAGTAATTGTCTGGGCTCTAATCAGCAGCAGGTTGCTGATAAACGTGGTTGGGCAGATGGCCCAAAGTTCATCCCTGAGGGAACCAAGATTAGAACATTGCAGGATGTATGGCCCTGGCACGAGCTGCCTGCTTTACTCAGTCACTACGTACCCAGCCAGTTTGACTGTCCCTCCCTTATACGGAGTCAATGAGATACATTATTTTACTCCTCAAGGAATATAGGGGAGATATTTTTGGGGGAGAGGCAGTGTGCAGCAGTGTGAGTTGGAGTTGCTCCCTGCTTATGACCTGGCAAACACTTGTTCCCAAATCTTGTCAAAGGAGCCTCCTCTCTACATCCCTGTGATGTCTGGTTCAGGGCTACCTGCCTGCAACTCTCTCTGCCTGGGGCAGCAGTCCCACATTGTACCAGCACCTCCACATGAAGAGAAAAGGGGTTATGTGCCCAGTTTATGCCCACCTGGCTTGAGTGACAGGAACCCTAGGCGGAGAGAGATCTTGGGCCAGATGCTCTTACATGAAAGAGCTCTTTACTCTTTCAGACTGCTGTACCTGGTCAACCAATACAGCACAAACATTCCCTGCTGGCTCTGGTGCCAAGGTGTTTATATCTTCCTAACATCTATGAATGTAGCATGTTGGTCTGTACTTGCCTTCTCTCCACTGGCATAGGTTCTGCTCTTCCCGGGCAGAACGCTGACTATCTTGCCATCATTGATGAGGATTTCTGCTGGGCAGATGGTGTTATCCAGCACCACCCTGGTACTCCTCACCGTCGTGACCTCGAACCCAGCTTCTGCTCTGGCTGTGCCTTGGTGAGGTTGCAAGAGAATGGCAAATAGAGTTAGACTCTGAGAGCATGGGGCATTCAAGGAGCAGGTTATATGGTCCAACTGCTCTAATTCTGGCCCCCAGAAGGGGAGAGAACCTGGCAATGGGATACTGTTCTTCAGAGGGTGATTTGGAGGAACGAGTCATCTTAAAAGGCATGACTAGATAAAACATTGTTGGACTCTAGCAGGACTGATTCCCCAGCACTTCTTGGCCAATATCATTTTCCTCTCAAGAGCTCCCAAAGGTCTCTGCTAGAAGTATGCAGCAGACAGCCCCTGCCTCAAAGATCTTTTAGTCTAAAAAGGAGAGGCACTGATGAGGTGGGGAGGGGAAAAGATTAGTGCCCCAAGTTACTGATAGGGGGCAGAGACCTAGAAAAGTAAGTGAGTCTGTGCACAGTCACACAGAGCCAGAATTGACCCTAGATCTTCTAGCCCTGCGCATGGTGCACAGAGCACCCTTCCTCTCAGACCTACATTTCAACACAGCCCTAAATCTCATGCCCAGTGTACTGGTGCTTATTAATTCCTAGGTTGTTTTAGGTCTCGGCCAGATTGGTTTGCCATTAACTTCCATAGGATCAGGATTTGGCCCCTATAAGGCTGGGGTTATAGTTGCCAGTTTTCACCTTATGCTTTGAAGAAGGGCTTTCCCATACACTGACATGGGAAGGAATAGGCTGGCACAGGCACCTGCACACACAGGCACATCAGCGTGCATGGGATATTCACATCTTTCTCCAAAGCAGACTCCATCTATTCCATGGCTGAGCCATGCTGAGGGCTGCTCAGCCTACAGCTCTCACAGCTGTGTGCACTCCAACGGGCTTGTTGACCACGTGCAGAGGCCAAGACAATAGCCTCAGCGAGCTGTGAGGGGAAGACCTCTCTTGCTGGATTAATAAGTGTTTGAAGGAAGCTTCTGAAGTCTTTCTGAAGTCTTTCTGGAAATGGTAAGGCCAGCAGGCCCTGTCTGTGCTAATGGCCAGCATTCAAATGAGCTCCAGATCAGGACACCCTGTTGGTTTCCTCTCATATTATTGCCTATTTTAATCCTTCTAGCATAGGCTTGCTGACTCCAGGTCTAGTCCCAGCAGGAAGCTTCTGGCCCACAAGGATTAAACGGTCCTTAACTGAATCTTCAGGAGAAGAAAAGCATTTCTCCCTACTCACCTCTTTGCATGACTTCACCTTTCTTAGACATCTTAAGATGGTGTGTGCTCTGTCTGGCTCCTGCTATTGCGGTTCCTCTGACTTTGTTTCCTTTGATGATGGTTGAGAGACTCTTCACATGAATGTGTGGTGCAAGGGAGACTTCCCACTGATCCCTGTGAGGTTGTTTCCCTCTCCCCTTCTGGGGCATGACAGGGAGGAGACACTGCTTGTCCAGTTAATGTTTGACGATCTCTGCAAACAGTGGAAATGGAGTCTTCCATAGCCTTGACCTTTATCAACTGGTTTATTTTTTTTTAGTACTGGGGAAAGCTACTAAAATGACTGTGTAACATGAGTCCTTGGTACAAACAAAGCTGGAGCCAGCAGATACAGTACAAGCTTCCTCTCCCAACCACGGTCCTGGTATTGGAGGGCCATCTCAAGGGCTAGTTTGGACTTGCTTGCTTAGCTCTTCAGTTGTACAGTCTTCTGGGGTGTAGTGATCATGGGCCGATTTTGATGGAGTAACTTGGATTCATCTGTATCCTAAGCTCTGACACAACAGGGTGCAACACCTCTATCACGTGGCCTGGGGCTTTTGTAGCCAGCTGGTAAACAGCAGAAAGCATGTGTAGATGCTCCTTGCACCTTCAGTTGGCAGCTGCTGTCGCTTCTAAAATTGGTGCCTCCCTGGGTGTACTGTATGCTCTGTAGGGCTCCATTTCCACAAGAAGTGCATGTGCTTTGGCTGTGATTGTTGCTATCACATGTTTTGACTGCAGAACAGAAGTGATGGAGACCAAGTTGAAGGCTACAATTCAAGGTGATGTGAAACTGCTTCTTGGGATCAGGATGGTCATCTTGAGGGTCTCACATTCAGCTGTAATATATAGAATAAACAACTTCCATCAGCTGTTGCACAGGCGGCAGATGTCATTGGCATGCAGGGACTGCTGCCCTAGGCCCAAGAATGAGGTGGGGAGGAAGTGAAAGGCTTCATCCACTTGTGGGGAATCATTGTATGGCACTTGGCAGATGATTTTACAAGCACCTTCTGACTCACCCTGATGATACTTGAATCTTGGAAACATGATAGTTCTTAACCATTATTTATAGAGCAATTTTTTATATTAAGGAACAGTGCCTGTTGCCAGTAACACACACTTCCTCTGGGTTTCTCTGACTCGATTCTTACAGCAAATCTTCTATATAGGGCATGCCAAAGTGAACAGATGACAGCATTATATGATGTCAAATAGCAGCAAGCTCTATTATTGCCTATGTCATCAAAGCTTTCTCTCTTCCCAAATCTTCCCAAAGGGAGACCCAATGTCCTCCAAGCAGTAGTTGGGCTGGCTTATCCTGCCACCCAGAGGTGTGTGCAAATACTGGAACTGCTTTAACTCCTCACTGCCAGAGTAACAGGAGAATGTGAAGGCCACAGCCAGTATGCTGGGTGCTGTACGTATGCATAGAAGAGACATTGTTCACTGCTGGGGTGGGGGAGAGCTTTAAAGATGAATGAGTCAGTTGAAACCAGCCCTTACACTTGCAGATGCTCATGTTAAACAGTGCTGATCAGCTAGAACTTAGTGAACAAATGAAGTAGGTTTCTGCTAGATTCTTGGGCTCGGAGTGATATCTGAATGACATGTGGCACCATGAGCAAAACAAACTAAGAAAGTGCCTTCAGTGGAAGGATGGAGCAGTCAAAAGCCCTCAAGGGCAAACTCTGCAGACGTGGTGAGCCAGTAGGGGAGGTCTGAACAGTACTTTGCTATCTTCATCAGCAGAAAGGAGGACAGCATCATTTCTAATGGTGCCTGGTTTCAGTTAACCAAGACAGAGTAGGGGACTCTGAAGCTGTTTTGTGGAAACGTGAAGAGCATTGCATTCCATGTAAAAATGAAACCTAAGTGCAGTGTCTTCTTAAAAAGGTCCAAAGGGCAGGTGAAAGAGCAGAGCTTATGGCTGAAAAACCAGTCTTGCAAATGTACATGGCTGAGTCCTTGGTAAGAGATCTGGTCTAGTTGGGGATCTAGGACTAAACCCACCCAATCTGTTGGGAGAGAGCAACTAGAATTGGTTAGGCCAAGGCAGTCACCCAGCTGAAACGGAAGCCTTGTGGGACAGGCAATGCTCTGGCACTGGACATCATACAGATCCTACAATGCTACATGACACAGGAGTATGGAAAAGACGTGATACAGGAATATGGAACTCAAAGTTGGATTTGGGGGAGGGGAAGCAACCAGCATGTAGAACTGCACAGTGTGGCAACAGCACAAAGCAAGACAATGCTCAGTCTCAGTTACAAGATGAAAGGACAGCAGTGGATTGCATCACTATACAAGACTGCATGCCAGTAGAGTCTGCTTAGCATGGGGAGAGGTTGATGCATCCAGAGCTCAATCCAGGTTCATTAAGAGCCATGGGCAGCACTGCAACAAGCAATGACTTGGAAAGCAAAGGGAACATCTTATTAATGTTGAGTTGCATGTCTAAGTCAATGTGATGCCAACCAGTGACACCAGCAGCCAAGGAAAAGCCCCAAGCAGCAATGGGTAAAAACTTGGGGTAGTCAGTAGTGATCTTCTCTATGCAAAAGGAGCTGTGAACCAAGTGTCTGGTTAAATAGCAAGAAATTGGAAAAGGGGCATGGCATGTCATTAAATCCAACAATGGCTAGTTCTTGATGGTACCATGGAAAGTGTATCCAGACCTTGGGGGAACCAAACAACTGAGGAAGACTTTGAGGAGTCTGCAGTGGCTAAGTAAGCTCTCAAGAAAGTGAAGAATAGGGATGATGCTGCTGAATCCTTCCACCATTTGCTTCCATCCAAAATTCCTCTTGCCTTGAGGTAGAGACTAGAAGATTAGTTGGATGGGTGCCTGACTCTGGGAACCAGAGGGTGAGTGGAAGAACCAGCCAGGTGTGGGCACTCATTGGTCACTGTAAGAAAAACTGAATTAAAAAGGGGAGCCTGTATTGGAGATTTTGGAGGGCATCAACTGTAACACTACACTGTAGACTAAAATATGACTTCTTGCACAAAGATCTAGTTAAATGGGTCTTACAAGGACTTTTCACAGAGATGAGGGTGAAGGGAGTGGATCTGTCCTCCAGGAGGACATAAAAAGCATTCCTCTGTCATTACTGCTCTCTGTGGGGTGAATTGCCACAGCCCTTTCTCTCTGTGGGGCTTTTGCACACTAGATCAGTATTTGAACCTATCCACTGACCTGTCTCCTGCCCTGCTCTTCAGCTGTGCTGTTGCAGACTACAAGCCTACTACACCGATCATGTGTATGGCCCAGCAGGTCTATGGCCCTGCTGCTCTCTGGTCCTGCTGCATGAGGCAGGGATACCCGGAGGCCGTATTGACTTTCAAAGGAAAGTGTGTCCTGGATTTATATATGGTGTTCCTGCCTTGTTATATGCATATACTGCCAAGAATAAATCCAGTAAAGATGCTCCTCTCCATATTACTGATGAGCGTGAAACTCATACCTCACAAATAACCACAAACATTATGGATCTTTCCAATTTGGGTTGGATAGGTTTAATATACGTTGTGGGAGTCTGATAAGCCAAGTGACCTAGAGGCATGACAGCCTTGGTATTTTTTGTCTCTCTTTCTTTCTTGTTTTTTTCTCTATTTCTTTTTCTGTTTTTTGCTGGCAGTTGATTCTCTCAGCTATTAATTGGTGCCATGCCAATGACAGGTGCCTGCTTGCTTAGCACAGGGGAATGCCCTGTGGTTCCTTTTGCAACAATAAGCAATAAAAGCCCTGGGGAGAGTCAGAAGACATGCTAAACTGTTACGTTTTCTGTACTGACAATAAAATTCTCCTTCATCTACTTCCAAGCCCCTCCACAGGCAGGGCACATTCCATCCCAGCCCATGGGACTTCTAGCTTGGTGGAAAGTCTTTGTACAATAAGCCCCACATTGTGTG